CCCACCAAACAAAAAACCCAAAACCAAACAACAAACCAGAATAAAAATAGAAAACCTGGTGAGGAAATAACCACTCTCCTGATTTTAGGGATAACCACACTTATCCCTTTAACATCTCCAATGGTGCAGCAAACTTGTAAAAGAGCAAGTTTGAAGTTCTCTGCTAATATTTCCCTTTTAATTAACAGATTAGGAACAGAATTTTTGCTATCTGTTCTGTATGTCTGCCGATATTCCAGTCATTTTATATCAGTAAATTGTTAGCAAACATGTCAAAACAAATAAAAAATGTGCAAGAGAAATTATAAAAGGTGGGGGGGGAGGTAATTTTTCACTCACACAGCTTCAATATTAACAAGGTAGGCATAAAAGTGATAGCATGAATTAATGGAAGTAAAAATGTGACGAAGAACATAGAGGGCTCCAGAAAACAGTTTATGTAGCTGGAAACATACTGTTCTATCATGAAAATTATTGCAGCATTTGCCTTTTGCTTGCCCCTTAAAATACCATTTTAAACCTATTCACCCTCAGAAGATGGCATTCCAAAAAATTCAGCCAGGTGCTGTGTAAAATTCTTTTAAAATGCTTGGCAGATATGAAGATTAAGAAAGCAAACTCTAGCGTGGATTCAAAATCTTTAATGTTAGGAGTTCTATGCACATGCTCAATTTTTTTTAGGAATAAAATCTAGATTAAAATATGTTTGGCCCTAGATAAAACTCCTGGAGCAATAATTTTGGATCATTAATAAGCCAGACTTATACTTGCAAATGTTATTTATAAAATACTTAACTCTTATTTACATAGTGCATACATGTCCCAGGAGATGTAATTAATGATAAATCCAACTTCCACTATTTGGATTATTCAGTTTTTTAACTTTACCCTCTTCTTATCATCATCCTCAAATATTCTTTGAAATAAATAAATAAGGGTCAACCTGTAATTTCTGAGTAAATTTTAAATGAGACTGTGAAGCTGCAAACCAGAATGTGCTGCAAGAATGTGTAAATTGCTCTTCCAGCTTCCCCTCAACAAAAGTGTAAAAGTAGATATTCAATATTTTCCATTAGTTAAACTTTTATGTCTTTTCAAATGTCTGGATTTATTAAAGTCATTTATAACAAGCTAAACACATAGAGTGGATAATTGCAATTTTTTTTTCATTAATTCCATAGATCAAAGATATTCCTAAGTCTAATTAGGTGAAGTCATATCAGCTTTGATAGCTGTGGCCCAGTAAATATGGTTGCATTTGCTGCTTCTGGGGGAAGGTGTTGGGCTGTTTCAGACCCCAGGGGGTGGCTGAGAAACCTATTGCCTGAGCAAGGCTGAGCTGGATTCACCAGGACACCCTAAATTAAGGCTGGTCTCTAATAGTGATGCACAGCAAAATGGAACTTCACTTCTGAACCTATAAGAGGTGAAATCTCATTTATTCATTATTGTCATAAAAAGGATTTAAGTGCCTGGTATTTTCTAGTCTTCTCCAGGATGGGACCTGGACAAGATTGAGAAATTGTCCATGGGAATCTCATGAGGTTTAACACAACCAAATCCAAGGTGCTGCACCTGTGTCAGGGCAGCCCCAGTACCAATCCAGGCTGGGGATGAGCAGAACCAGAGCAGCCCTGGAGAAGGATTTGGGGGTGCTGGTGGGTGAGAGGCTGGACATGCTCCAGCCGTGTGCTCTGGGAGCCCAGAACCCCCCGAGTGCTGGGCTGCATCCAGAGCCCCGTGGGCAGCAGGGCAGGGAGGGGATTCTGCCCCTCTGCCCCGCTCTGCTCAGACCCCACCTGCAGGGCTGCATCCAGCTCTGGGCTCCAGCACAGCAAGGACAGGGACCTGCTGGAGCCAGCCCAGAGCAGGCACCGAGGGCATCAGAGGGATGGAGCAGCTCTGCTGTGAGCAAAGGCTGAGAGAATTGGCATTGTTCAGCCTGGAGAAGGAAGGTCTTGAGGTGACCTAATTGCATCCTTCCAGTACATGAGGAGAGCCCACAATTTACAAGGGTCTGCAGTGACAGGACAATGGGGAATGGTTTCAAACTGAAAGACAGCAGGTTTCTATAAGACATTAGGAAAAACTCTTCCCTGAGAGGGATTTGAGGCACTGGAAGAGGTTTCCTAGAAGCTGTAGCTGCCCCATTCCTGGAAAAGTTCAAGGCAAGGGTCGATGAGGCTCTGGAAAACCTGTCTAATGGAAGTTACCTCTGCCCATGGCATCGGGTTTGGAATATGATGATTCTCGAGGTCCTTGCCAATCCAGGCCATTCTGTGATTCTATGATAGTAGTTTTTAAAGTCTATTTTTTCAGAATATCTGTCAGTTAAAACTCCCATAGCGATTAGTGAAACTGTTAAATCCCTGTCATGCCATGCTTTTTAAGAGCTTTGATCTACTGTTTTTACATAACACATTAAACATAAGTAAGCTCCCACCTATACTAGCAATGCAAATTCACTTAAAAATCCTCATTATATTCTCTATTTTTGTCACCCCTATCCATCATATCAGTTATGTTGTGTAATGTTTGCATTACATTGTGTGAATTGGTTTACTGTGAAATATTTTTAATTAATTTTTTCTCACTCTTACCTTTATTTATCTGTATTTCTCATTTTTCTTAAAATTATCTAACCTAAAGCTGACAAGTTCAACTCGATTTATAAAACAGTCAAAATAAATTCCCACATTCGCATAGGTTTCTCAGAGTTTTGCTGGTTTTTTTCACAACACCCATTTACTAGTTATGAATGTCAATAGAATAAAGTAATACTGAGATATTTAATGTGTATATGAATATAAAATTTATTTTCAGAAGAAAAAATCTACCTTTATCCATTGAAATACTTCAGGGAACACTCCTCCTATGTCACACTAAAATATATTTGTTTATTAAAACGATCATATTAATTAACTAGCTATCCTCATCATCAGGCTTCCGTGAAAAGCTATAAAGTTATTTCGATTTTAAAAGTATCCTGTCAAAAAAAGGAAAGGGTAGGAAAAAGTATTGATTTGTAAGAAGAATGTAAGAGCTACTTGACAAATTAACCCCTTTATATTGGTAGTCATATCCATAATTGCTCTTATCTGATGAGACCTACCAAAACAAAATTCCTGAAGATTCTGTATGAGGAGAGATTTAGTGAGTTATGTCAGTAAAAATGAAGTTAGAATCTGAGATAATACAAAAAAAAATTAGGCTTACTTGAAATTTACACCTATCAACATGTTTACTGATACATAACGTGTCAAACTTTTCCTAACACTTTTCTAAATCAAGGAGCTAAATCTACCTGATCGTTATAAATCTAACTTCTGTGTATGTCTTTTCGACTGTTTGCAATGCTTTTACTAGCTGTTAACTAAAACAAAGTCCTGCAAGCTTTTATGTTAAAATGTGGATACAAAATAGATAAAAATTTGGGAAATAAAACAACAGCTTTTCTAATTTTGATGAATTAGATTTGCTCTTGCAGATATGCACAGACAGACTGGCCCACAGATTCATATTTTTCTCCTGAAACTCAGCTTTGCAGAATTTTTTAGCACTGTGAAATCTACTCCTAGGAGATACCCTTAGCATGAGTCAAACACACCATCTCACAGAGTTACAAAATCAGAATCCAGTCTGTATAGAATACTTGAGAATTATTCTTATGAGATGATTTTTTGCAAGATAGGAAGAGAAAATGACTTGTGCAGCAGGTACTTCTCTCTGCTCTCTTCTTGAATTTGGCCTTCTCATCTTCACCACTCATAACATTCATTGGGAGGCCACCTGGCCTCCAATGAACAACAACAACAACTTCTTGCTCTCCCCAGACAACAGTTAGGGTGCTGAGGAAATAGATAATCCTTTAGTTAAAGGAATGACAGAGGAATCAAACTGAAACTGACAACGTGTTTTACAGAGACAAGAAGCCAAAAGTTGAGCTTTATAAATTTCCTCAGGCTGTAGATCAGATTTTCTGATCTGCATCCTGCCATGGATGGGGACAGCTTCAACTAGATCAGGTTGTTCAGAGCTCCATCCGGCCTGGCCTTGAACTCTTCCTGGGATGAGGCATCCCCAACTCCTCTGAATACCCTGTTCCAGTGCCTGATTACCATCACCCTAAAAAATTTCTCCCAAATGTTCAATCTTAATTTACTCTTTTGCAAGTTTGAAAACATTGACAGTCCGGGTAAAAAGTCTCTTTCCATCTTTCTTATAATCCCTGCTTTAAATAGTGCAAGGCCACAACAAGGTCTCCCCAAAGCCTTTTCTTCTTCGGTCTAAATAATTCCAACTTTGCCAGCATTTTTTCATAGGAGACATGTTCCTGCACTCTGACCTTTTTTATATCCATCTTCTCAACCCACTGTAATATGGTCAGGTGTTCTTTCTTGTGCTGGGGATCCAGAGCTAGACTCCAGGTAGAGTTTTATGAGAGCAGAGTAGAGAGGGAGAATCATCTCCCTCAACCTGCTGGCCAAATTTCTTTTTACACAAGTCAGGATACAGATGACTTTCTGTGATGCAAGTACACATTGCCAGCTCTTGTCCAGTTTTTTAACCACAAGAAATTCCAAGTCTCTCTTTGTAGGGCACTCTCAATCTATTCATCACACAGCCTGTGTTACTACTGGGTATTACCTGATCCCTGTGCAGCACCTTGAACTTTTCCTTGTTAACTTCATGAGTTTTGAACAGGCCCACTCTTCAAGCCTGTCCAGGTCCCTCTTGATGCCATACCTTCCCTCCAGAACATCAATCACACCACACAGCCTTGATCCCACTATATCACCACTGAAAATATTAACTAGTATTGATCCTTCCTAAGTGTGCACCCTTGAGGGATTCCACTTGTTACTGGTTTCCACTTAGATAATGAGCTATTGACACAGTTTGGATGTGGCAATCCAGCCAATTCTTAATCCATCCAAGAGTTAATCATTCAAACACATATATTTCCAATGTGGTATCTAGAATGTTGTGTGGGACTGTGTCCAAGGCCGAGAAGTCAAGATAGTTGACAACTACAGCTCTTGTCTTGCCCTTTCCATTGTAGAGGGCCACAAGATCAGTCAGGCACAATTTGACCTGGTTGTTGGCTGTGTCTAATCATCTCCCCTTCTTCCATATGCTTGGATGTGTGTTCCAGGAGGATCTAAAGGCACTGAGCTGTGGCTGGCTGGTCAGTACTTCATATCCTAGGATTAATTCCAGTACCTGCAAGCACATTAATACAAATTCCTGCAAATATTCCAACAGAAGAGAATGTTAAGAGAATATAATGAAGATTTGAAGTGAAGGAACTCCTCTGAGTCATTGTAAATCATAAGGCCAGCAGAGACCCTTCAAGCTCAACCACTCTTTCAATGTCTGTACTATCCTGATTAACAAGAACATCTGTCTCTGACAACAGAAAAGCCTCTTCTAAGTCTGCTGGGTTTTGTACCTGTACTAATTTGTCATTTAATGTTTGGTGGAAAGGTTTAAATTCCTGTCTTTCTCATCCAAACCCCAGGATCATTCTGAGAGAACGGGACTGACAATTAGCTCTTCACTCTTTATTTTGCATCCTAGATAGCTATCTTGTTTATATTATCATGTTTTCCTACTTTTCTGTTGTTTGCTGAACTCAGGAGAAGGCAGTTTTTTAAATGAGAAAATGACTCAGAACCCTCTGCTTTAAAAATTGCAGTGTAAAATGTATACATACAAGATATTCAACACATATCTTGAAGATAAATAAAACTTCAGAAAGCCAATCATTGACGTCTATCAATTCTAATACCAGGCAGGATAGGAAATATCAACGAAATAAGGTAACTGAACTTTAGAACCTAGTTTTAAAAGTTACTGCTGAAGGATTTTACTCTTTGAAGCCTTTAGTTAGAGTGCTGGTTGTTCAATATCTCACGTTCTCTGGCTCTAAAAGAATGGCAACAAGAAAATTAATTAGGGTTTTCTTTACGTTTTAGAGACAGGTAATGGATTACTACAGCTTGGAAAGATGCTTCAGGACTAGACAGTCCACCTAAACCTAGACAATTTTAGAGAAATAAAAAATACTGAATTTGCTAGCAGCAAATAAAACATTTTAACTCAAACAATTTCAGTAATCAATATCTAATCTGCACTCACAGCATTTTTTTTTTAGTTAGAAACTAAAAAGGTGAAAAGGTGGAATGTTTTGTAGCCAAAGAAGGAGCTTCAGCTTTGTTACTTTGTGTCTAATTTTCCACAAAAAATTCCACTTTCATGTTTCTAATATTGACAAAGCAAGGCAATCCATCATTTCTCTGTGTTACTTCTTGCTTTCTAAACACCAGTCTTATTTTGTCAGGCAATTTTTTTTTTAATTTCAACTGACCCCACAGACCATGTCCTAGAGCATAATCCTCTTTTCAATTACTTTTTTGTCCTGCTGTGTCTCAGATATTTAGAAACATTTGCTTGTCTCAGCTACACTTTATTCACTGTATTGCCACAAAAATTCATATAGGTGATGTGTGACGTGTCATATGACACTTGGTACAGAAAGAGCAGTCTGTACTGCTGCATTAAAGCACAGCAAACTGCAGATAGCCAACCCTACTTAAAATCATAAAGGTTGTAGCTTATGTATGGAGGTAGAATGCTTTCCATTGGGCACATGTTTTCTTGCTGTTTTAAGAGACCTAAATTACATGAAAAGGGGAAAGAGGCACTTTTTCAATCAGCAATATGATTGCAAATTGAACCTTGTAATTAGAAATTAGTATTTCAGGGCTTACTTATAGTGCTTGTGCACTATATTGATATTTGAGGCAGTTTTGTGGTTCAGAGTCTGCAGATAGAAATTGAGACCATATAAAAACTCATCTCCAGTGGTCTAAGCATCATTATTTTTATTTATTTACCAATTTATGCATTTTTTATAGAATAAAATAATTTGCCTTTATTTCACTTGACCGAGAAACTGTTGTTAGTATATTGTTTAAATAAAATATACAC